TCTCAAGGGTTTTCGACAAGCTCTGTTATTAGTTACTGTTAAATAAAGTATATGGAGCCTACTGCACGCCACAAACTCTCTTAGGCAGTGGGGACACCGCAGCGACCAAAGCAGCCCCCCCCCGGGTTCACAGTCCGGGGGGGGGGAGAAGGCAGAAACCAAGCCAGGCATCCTCCTCCTCGATACATCAGCCAGTCCTGTCGCCTCTGCCTGCAAAGTTTGTCCTAAATCTGCCCTCTCCTCCCCCTCTCCTCAACCTCCACCTGGTGCAGCCTCCATCACGACTAGCCCTGCCTCAGGGCCTTTGCACGGGCTGTTCCTCTTCCTGAGTATTCTTACCCCAGCTCTAATATCTCCATTTATTTCCTTTGCTTTAAAAAAAAAAATGTATGTCAAGGACGTCAGCGTCGAGAAAGCAGTGACTTGGGTGTATGTCGGTGACCGCTGGGTCCCCGGCTACCAGCACAGGGCCTGGCACCCAGCAAGGGCTGATAAAAATTCCTTCCGCAACGGAAGGCATGGATTCACGGAACCTCAGGGAACAGCCTGGTCGTGTTCCCAAGTCCCGGACGGGAGCGTTTAGCCGTGGACACAGATAGAGATATTGGGGGGGGGAGAAAGGGCTTCAAATTTTGGTTGCCTCCCTCTGCCTTTAATTATTTTGTCGACAAGCCTCACAATTCCGCAAGTCAAGGTGGCATTTGAGAGGGACGGTTCCCTTTAGCGTAGCTGACAGCTAATTTGTGGGAAGTTTAATTACAGGCGGCGTTAATTAACTGACAGAATGCTGGGCGAGGAAGGCAGCCATCTGTTCCTAAAAAGTCCTCCCCTTCTGGGCCCGGCTGGGAGGCTGGGAGGGGTGGGCATGGAGGAGGGCAGGGCGTGGAGCCGAGGCGGGGACAGAGGAACAGGAAGGAAGGACGCCGGGCGATGACTCACAGGCTTCTCACCATCTTCCAGATGCCACAGGGGTGAGGTCGGGGCACTCCGCCTCCTTGTGGCCGCCACCCTTTTGCAGCTGCCCCCAGGAGCCGCTGGGAGTGGCAAGAAGTTCCTTGGACTCTGCTTCTTACTGGCGGTATCATGAGGAGCAGAGGGTGTGGAGTAGTGGAGGTGAAGAGCGTCCTGTCCTCAGCTCACGCTGGCTAGGACTGGCACCTGCCAACGGAAGTTGGGAGGAGAAGCTGGGACGGAGCCCGCGGTGTGCGATGCCCCGGGAAACCCGGCGCCGGAAAAGCGGATCCCTCTGCCCCTCATCTACCACTCACTCCTTCATTTCAGCCATTCTCCACGGCGACGGCACGGAGGTGATGCCGAGACAGCCCCCGGAGCTGGGCTTCTGTGGTTCAAAACCAAACCCAGCTTTCTTCTGAGCTGTTTGCCCCGCGGCAAGCCACTTACACCTCTCGGAGCCTCAGTTTCCTCATCTGAAAAATGGGATTGATTATAATAGGACCTACTTCCATTTGTCTTTCCAGAAGAGTCGAGGCCGCGGGATAAGCCTGAAGTGCCACCACTTGTAACAACTAAAACTGTGTACGTGTGTCGAGGCAGGCACGGGGCTGTCCGATAAGGCTGAGGGCCTCTGTGCCTCTTAGGGCTCCGGGTCCTCGAATATGCTGTTCCCTCCCGCTAGACCACCCTTCCTACCCTTGCCCAGCCGCTCCCATTCTACGCTTCGTGTCTAGAGGGAGATGCCCCCTGTCTAAGAAGCCTCTCTCGACCCTGCAGACGGGACAACTGTCCCTCTGGGCCCTCACAGCGCCTGTGCCCCCCAAACAGCCCTAGCACCCGGCCCTGCCCTTCCCTCGGTCCCCCCCCCCCCCCGGGGGGGGGGGGGAAGGGGGGAGGCGAGCCGAGCGCAGCGTTCAGGGTGACAGCCACTTAAAAATGGAGAGGACCGTCTCAGGCACGGGAGGGGCCTGCCAGGCGTGTGGCCCTGGGCAGACGGCATCCTCGTCACAGGCTCAGTCTCTCCCTCTGGAAAATGGGCGTCTGCACGGGAATTGGGCTCAAGGTGCCAGGAGTTCGTGCGGGGAGACCGTGGGTCCGCATGTGCTCCGCAGCCATGCCCTGAGTCTGCCCTGTCACCGGAGCTGCTTCCCCTCCTCCCAGCCTCAGTTTCCCCACTTGGCCACACACACCGCCCGCCCCCCCCCAGACAACACAGATGGGGCTCCGTCTGGGCGGGCGGGAGGAGGCCCCTGCTGGTGCGCACTCGGAGCAGGAGCCAGGGCAGCGCCGGCGGGGCTGGCGGAGTCGGCCTCGAGCGCCTGCCGCTCCCTGAAGGCGGCTGGGGAAGGGCCCGGGCCTGGCTCTTGGGGGAAGGGAAGAGGCTCCGAAGCAGCGAGGCCCCTTCTCAGAGGGGGCAGGTTCTGATCTGGGGCAAGGACTCCATGTCCCCTTATTAAGCACCCACTGGATGCCAGGCCAGGCCTCTGCCCCTGCTGTTCTGGCTGCCGGGGTCACAGCGCTGAGTCCTGCTCTTTCTGCTCTCGGTCTAGAAGACACCACCTCCAGGAAGCCCCCCATCCTCCGGGTTGGCTCAAGCACCTCCCTTCAGGCTAACACGGTGCCTGAGCTTCCCCCATCACAACTCCTTTCACCCAATATTACGGCTGGGCCGTGGGCTGGTCACTTAGTCAGTTGACAAACACGGATGGAGCACTCAGTGTCGGGCACTGTGCTCTGGCACTGTGCATACTTAGGGAGCCCTGCGGGGCCTTTGTCACCGCTGTCCCCACTTTACAGATGGGGAAACTGAGGCTCTGAAAGGGTTAATAGTGGAAGCCAGGTGCCCTGAGCAGGGTAGCCTCTGCTTGTGGCGTTGGACAGAGCCCCACGCACACACGCTCCAGAGCCACGACCAGGGCCTTATCCTCTGCCATCGTCAATCCAGGAAGGGGGAGAGACCCTGTCCCTTAAGCCGCCTCGGAGGTTCCCAGCTTCGCCGGGAAGGGCAGAAACACTTTCGTGTGCGTCGCGCGGGAAACCTCTGACCACACACGCACACATTCTCTCGTGGACCAGGCTGTGGGGTCCGGAGCCCACCGTCACGCCTACACCACAGGACCCAAGCGAGCGACGTGGCCTCTTCAGGCCACCACAGCCTCGTCTGGAAAATGGGGCCCTACAAGCGGCACCCAGGGTTTTCTCTGAGTTACTTAACACTCCTCCGGCGGTCTTACTCAACACCTCAGAATAAAAACCAAATTCCTTCCCCGAATTCACGAGACCCTGCACAAGGCGCCCCTTCCCGCCCTCACCTCCTCCTTGTCTCCCCCTTACTCCCCTGCTCCAGCCACGAGGGCCTCCTTACCGCTGGTCCTCCAAGACGTCAGGTCTGGTGCTGCCCCAGGGCCTTTGCACAGGCTGTGCCCTCCGCCTGGACTACTCTTGCTGCACGCGCACCCCCTCCCCACCATTCCAGTGTCAGCAGAGTCCAATCGAATGCTTCCTCCCTGACCCTCCTGATAAGCCGAGCAACCGCCCTGCACTCATCACCTGGGGGCCCCTTGCTATGGCCCAACCCTTCTGACGGGGTGGGGAGCACCTCTGCTTGCCAAAAAACTAAACCACACCTGGGCTGATCTCTGAAACCAGCCGCAAAGTCGCGGGAGGCAGGGGACCGAGAAACACGATCAACGGCACCGCAGGGACGCGCTTGGCAAAACCTTGGCTGATGATGTCACCGCAGGTCCTGGACTGAGTGGCTTTGATGAATAAAGTGCAAGGCAACCGTAAGGGAGTGAGAGGCCGAGGAGCGGGCGACTCTTGATCTCGGGGTTGTGAGCTCGAGCCCCACGTTGGGGGTAGAGATCACCTAAAGGTCAAATTAAAAAACAAAGACGTAGACCACTGACCACTCTGGATTTTATCTAGATTGAGAGCCAGACAACCTAAAGCAACGCACATCATGAAGCCCACGTTTCCGTGTGTCTCCCGGATGGGTATCTGATGCTGTTAGGAAGTCGTTCCTTTGAACATGATGCTGAAGTTCGTGGGTTTTGTTTTGTTTTGTTTTGTTTTTTAGTATTATTTTAGAGAGAGAATGCGCGAGCAGGGGGAGAGGGGCTGAGGGAGAGGGAGAGATAATCTTAAGCACAGGGCTGGACACAGGGCTCGATCCCATGATCCTGGGATCAATGACCTGAGCTAAATCCGAGTATCAGATATTCAACCGACCGAGCCACCCAGGCGCCCCTGTGGGAGTTTTTTGGGTCTCATCTCCGAGCCGGGCGGCCCTCTGGTCACTGGTGGCAGCGACAGCCGGGTCATCATAGAGCGTCCTGAGTGCTGGGGTGGGGAGGGAGGGCAGGAGGGGGTTTGAACAGTGTCCCGGCCACCAAAGCCAGGAGCTGCTCCAAGTGTGCCCCGGACATCATCACCCAGAGGTTCCCTGGGGACACAATCCCCAGCCCAGCTGAGAACCGCTGCGGAACACCACAAGTTTGCAGATGAAAACCACCATTTGCATGAAAATGACAAGGGAGGGGCGAGCGTCAGGGCGCAGGAGTTGAGAGTGGCCATAGGCCGTAGGCGGATACTTGCTGACTCTGAGTAATGGGTACTGGGGGGGGGGGGTGTCATTATTCTACTGTCTCCCCTCCACGTGTTTGACATTCTCCGCTGCGGAAATCTGCAACGCTGGGGAGATTCAGATAAAAGCTGGAGGCAAGTTCACCGCAAGGTGCCCACGCCGCTTCCTTGGCTGGGCCATGTGAGAGGCGTCAGGGGCACCTGGACTACTTTGTCACTTTTCCGTAAACCTAAAGTCACCATAAATTAAACATTTTATTTGGGGGAGGAAAAAAAAGCCCCAAACGTTGAAATGCATAACGGATAAGCGAATCAGGGGCCCGCAGCCCGCGTGCCCGGGATTGGAACGGAGGCGTGGGGCTCCCGTGGCCACCATCGGTGCGACGACACAGCGGCTTCCCCTACCCCCCCCCCCGCTGGGATCTGTCACATGGGTGTCCTCACAGCAGCCAGGGCCAGAATCCGCCTTCAAACCCACTTTATTCTCTCTAGACTAGAAACACTGCGCATTTCCAGCCCCCCGGCCCGCTCTGTGCCAGCCAGGGCCGCGCGGCCTCACGAGCGTTCCGGGGGCGGCTCCGAGGACGCGGGGGCCTCGGCGGGGGCCCCCGAGCGGCCGTGCGAGCTGGCCCGGGCCAGCAGCTCCAGCCGCCGCGCGCGCAGCCGGGCCTGGACGGCCCAGATCGGGGGCCGGTGGCCGGGCAGCGAGGGGTCCTCGTCGGCGGAGTCGGAGCCGTCCTCCGTGGCGGCCAGCGACTGCTTGCACACGGGGCAGGAGCGCCGCGCCGCCTGGGAGAACCAGGGGTCGATGCACTTGCAGTGGTAGGTGTGCGAGCAGGGCAGGATCTTGAGCCGGTCGCCTTCCTCGTACTCGTCCAGGCAGATGGCGCACAGGTCGTTCCGCCGCGTGAACGTGCGCACCTGGGCGCGCTGGCCCGCCTGCGTCTTGAGCGCCCGCGCCCGGGGCCGCCGGGCGCGCAGCCCGTTGCGCAGCCGCCGCAGGACGAAGACGCCGGCCGCGAGCAGAGCGAGCGCGCGGGCCAGCGCCCAGGCGGCGGCCAGCGGGGGCACGCGGTCCAGGGCGGGGCACGGCGGGTGGTCGGGCAGCAGCAGGACGTGCGCCGCCTTGTGGCAGCGCGCGAGCACGCGCAGGTCCTGCGAGGCGGCCTCGCCCACGAACACCGAGGGGATGGCGACCTGGCGGCGCAGGGCCTCGAGCCCGTGCGCCATGCGCACCAGCTCCTCCGAGCGCACGTTGTGCACGATGGCCGCCTCGAAGCCCGCGCGCTGCGCGTGCAGCACCTTGAGGTCGAACGTGCAGTCGTAGCGGCGGATCAGCGCGATGGCGCCCAGCGAGCCGTTGCCCGGCCGCGGGCCCTCGATGGGGTGGCACGCGTTGGGCGGCTTGGCCTCCATCAGGTAGCCCCGCACGCCCTGGGGGGCCAGGGGCGCCCCGAACAGGGCCGGCAGGTCCTCAAAGTCCACGGTGCTGGCGTTGCCGTCGAGCACGGCGCGCACCAGCGCCTGCGAGGGCGCCAGCAAGGCCAGCAGGATCAGGGCGCCCCCGACCGCGCCCGGGGCCGGCGGCGCCCACCCCATGGCCGCCCCGTCCTCCCCGCCTCCTCCAGCTGCCAAGGGGCGCTAGGTCCCGCTTGGGACAGCAGACCGGAGGCCTTCGGGCATCTCCAGGGCCTCCCAGGGCGCCCGTGGCCGGGATGGGAAGGGAAGCGAGCTCGAAGCGGGGGCTCAGAGGCAGGTGAGCGGGGCGGCTGGGCCGCGGGCAGCCCGAGGCAGAAACTGCTCCTGGTGGCACCCAGCGGGCATCGAGCGTGTCCTTGAAGGCTGGTCTCTGGAGTGGCTGACCTGCCCAGCCGGCCTTGCTGGTGGATGACACTGAGGCCAGGAGCCCCCAGGGTTCTAGATGCCTCTGGCCTCTGTGACATCGTCCTGTGACATCTTGTCCCCAGGAGCCCCGAGTTGCCTAGGGATGTGGCCCGGACAGAATTCCTGGGTTTCTGACCCGGGGGCCTGAGCGGCCTTGGAGAAAACCTGTGGAAGGCTCAGAGCGTCCCGGGCTCCTGGACCCCCTAACGTGGCTACAGCGTGGGCTGGTGGCCCCCAGGGGCATGGATCTGGCATTAGAACTCTCTCTCCGGAGCCTCCCAGAGACCCACCAAGGAAGGTGCCAATGTCACCCCCTTTTCAGATACCCAGAAGGATCCAGACTTGTTCATGACACCCTCTCCCCATGAGGTCGGTTCTCAAACCCAAATTCCAAACTTCCTCCCTCTCTCCCCCTCTATACCCTCTGCTTCAGCCACAGGGGCCTCCTCACCGCCGCTGCTGTTCCAACACGCCGGGCACGGTCCTGCCCCAGGGCCTTTGCACAGGCTGTGCCCGCTGCCTACAGTGCCTCTCACCTGGGGCTGGCTCTTTCTCAGGACTTGGGTCTGAGTTCAGAGGTCCTTAGAGTTTAACTAGATTTGATTGAGGGGGGGGGGGGAAGGTGCCCCGGGCAGGGTGGAGTAGGCAGGAGCAGATGGTCCTTACCCCACTGCCCGGAATGCCTTCAGTCCTGCGCCAGCTTTATTCTCCCACCTCGGTGCCTGCGCTCCAGCCTGGTCCCCAGCTGTGTCCCCGCGCACTCAGCCGGAGCCATGCTGTCAGCCCCATGTCCTCCCTACCGCTCACCCCCCAAACCCGCTCCCTCCCCGAGTCTGCCTCCCACCGGGCCAGGCAGCCTGCTCAAGTCTGGATGGCTGGTTCTGCCATTCGCAAGCTGTGTGACACCAGGTAAATCACTCAGCCTCTCTGGGCCCCAGGTTCCAGATCTGTAAACTGAGCATAATGACGGGGAACCTATCACACAAGACGGGTGGTGCGAGTGGTGAATGAGACAAAGCGCACTCAGCGCTCAGCACTGGGTCTGACCTCATCCCTCTCCCAGACCTGTCCTGCCTCTGCTTTGAAATCTTTCTAGTCAGATCTTTCCCTGGTCTCTCCCCCCCCCCCCGGGGCCCTCCAGAGGAAGTCCACGCTCCTCTCTGGGCCCACAAGTCCCCCCCGCCCCCGGCCACTCACCAAGGTCAGGACCCTGCCAATCTCTTAAGTCCAGGGCTCTCCGACGCTCCCAAGGCATCCCGATTCCTGGACCTCTAGGGCCTGGGCGATGCTGCGCGCCATGCCCCGAAGGCCACGCTGCCCCCTCGTGGCATTTGGCCAGGCTGCTTGCTCTTAGGATCCCTGGGCCGCCCCCTGCCTCCCAGGGCAGCCCTCAGCCAGCGACAGAGGGGAGACAGGGACACCCGGGGCAGCCGTGTGGTGACAGATGCAGACACAGAGTGATGTGTCCACAAGCCAAGGGTCACCGTAGCCACAGCAGAACCCGGGGGGGGGACACGGGACAGCGTCCCTGGGAGCCCCGGGGGGGGGGCACGGGACAGCATCCCTGGGAGCCCGGGGTGGGGCACCCTGCTGACGCCAGGCCTGGCAGCCGGCCCCGGGGGGGGTGACACGTGGTTACCGCAGCCCTAGGACAGGAATGGCCCCTGGAGTCCTTGTCCCCAACAAGGCAAGATGTCCTCACTGAGCATGGAGGGTGCGGAGGGGTGGACTGTCAGAGGGCACAGAACAGCGCGCTGGGAATGTGAGGAGAGTGAGAAGGTCCTGGGGGGGGCGGGGAGGAGAAGAGAGGCTTGCGTGGGTGACGTCACCCCCACGATGCCCTCCCCGCTGGGATCGTTCCCAAAAGTCCCTCGGTGCCCTTGCCTTTCACGTCATTCAAGCAGCCGCCAGTTTCCCTAAGGGACAGGTCCCTGTCCCCGCTGGGACTTTAAAACATCGTTTTGTTTTTGGAGTCTGCATTTTGCAGATCCCGTCTCCCCGTGGCAAGAAATGGGGGCTTTTTGTGACTCACAAAAAGTTGTTAAAGAAAGACGACAGGGGAGCCGATATCCAGGGAGCGTTTGGATGGATGGCGGTGGGGGAAAGGGTGGGGAAAGCGGGTCTCCAAAGAGCGCAGGAGAGTGGGGCGTCCGGGTCTCCTGGGGGCCTCTTGTGACAAAGTGCCGCAAGCTGGGTGGCCGAGAACATCAGGAGTTAACGTTTTCAAAGGTTCCGGACACCAGAAGTCCAAGGTCAAAGGGTCGGCGGCATGGCCCTCCTCCTGAAGGCTCCTCTGGCTTCTGGAACCTGCTCGGCCCACATGCAGATAAGCCAGCAAATTAACACCCCGGGGGGCCGGCCCGGGACCCATGACTGGGGGGCACTGGACAAACAGCCCATCTCGCCCACTTCTCGCCTGAAATGACTGTGGGGTGCCCGACCGTCACCACCTCCAGGAGGACCTCCGTGGGGCTGAGCTCCGGCTGCTCTCGTGACAACGTGCTTGCCGCTGGTGCTTCCTTCCCCAGATGCCTTCCCTTTCCTGTCTCCCACCCCCCAGCCCCCTCCCAGGGTTTTCTGAAATCATTGCCAAAAAAAATAATGTCTACCCACATTCTTGTCTCGGGGTGCTGCTTCTGGGGAAGCCAAAACTAAGACCTTGGCTGAGAAGAGGGGCAGCACCTAAGAAAACAGAACAGAGACCAGACAGGTCCTGAAAACAGCATCTGGACGCCTGGATCTAGCTGAGCCTGAAGGCTGGCTGATCAACACCTCTTCCCCTGTTAGATGAACGAATATATTCCCTTTTTCTGCTTGGTGGGGGGGTCTATCCCCAAAGAACTAACCTCACAGGGGACTGGGGAGGCTTCCAGAACCTCAGGCCAGAAGGGACACTAGGCACAGTTGCAAGCCTGACTTTCTTTCTCTCCTTCACCCACATCTCCTTCCCCAAATGTACGTAGGGGGAGCCTCAGCAGTGCTGGCCCGGACACGCTGAGGCTGAGGCTGTGTCGCTCCTCAGACTATTAGACACAAAACACAGGTCAGCTAGGGCAGTGGGATCAGCGTCCTGTGGTCCCCAATTTCCTGGAGCTCAAGGTCTGGTCTCCCTCCCTCCTCCCACGGACCCACGTCCTGCTACATTCCGTGTTAGACTTGCCTGGACATGGGTGGGTGCGCAGTACGCGCACACGCCTCTGATAGGGTTGCAATTCAGGAGGCCACGTGGCTCCCGGGGGCTGGGGCTGGGACCCGGAGGCGGATCTGGAGGAGAGCCAGGGGTCAGGGGTCAAATGCCAGTGAACTGTCGACCCACAGCCCCCCCGGGACCCCTCTGTCTCTCTGTGTCTCCCCTCTGTGCATTTCTATTCCTGGTTCATCTCTTTTTTTTTTTTTTTATTTTTTTTAATGTTTTATTTATTTCTAGGAGAGAGAGAGAGAGAGACAGCGTGAGCAGGGGAGGGTCAGAGAGAGAGGGAGTCACAGACTAGAACAGGCTCCAGGCTCTGAGCTGGCAGTCAGCACAGAGCCTGACGCGGGGCTCGAACCCACGAACCGTGAGATCATGACCTAAGCGAAAGTCGGACGCTTAACCGACTAAGCCACCCAGGCGCCCCAATTCCTGGCTCATCTCTGACTGTCTCCCTCCCTCCTTCTCCATCTTTCAGTTCTGTGTGAGCCCCTCTGTCTCTGTGTCCGTATCTCCGCTGTCTGACTCTGCTGTCCGTCTCTGTGTCTGTGTCTGTCTCCCCCTGGGTCCCTGCGTCCCCGGCTCCTTTTGTGTTTCTCTCTGACTTGATCTCTCGCCTGACGTGTTTCTTTCCATGTTCCTCCGTGTCCGTCTCTCTGTGTCCCTCCCTCTGCCCCCCACTCCCCAGCCCTACACCTGGCCCGCAGGCTGATTTTGTCAGCCTGAAGGCACACACCTCTTTGGGCCCAGACGAGCCTGATGCGGTGAAGGAAGGGCCAGCGTGGCCCTCGCTGGCTGAGCGAGCACGGCCTCCCGCGGCCATAACGCGCGGGGACGGATACAGAATCCACAGGTGCTTTCCGAACACGCTTACCCCTGGACCCCCCACTGCCCTTTGCACTTGGACCTTTCCCCGTGCCTCCTGGGAGGAAGCCAGCACGCAGAAAGGGCACAATGCTTCCCAAGTGCCACAGCCAAGAAGGGGCTGGGCCACCCGCTCCACCCCTGCCCTGCACCGCCCCCGCCCCTGCCCTGCCCGCCACAGCTCAGGGCCTTGCTGTCAGAGGCCAGGCTCCTTCGTCTTCCTCCCTTTCCTGCTCTCTGTGACGTAACTGAACTTGTGGAGACAGAAGACGTGTCTGGGAAGGAGGGGGCGACAGTGACCAAGACAAAACCCCTGACCTTACGGAGATTCTGTTCTAGCTGAGGAGGGAAGGCAGCCAAGCGACGAATTAACCAAATGAATAAACCGGCCATCAGGTGAAATAATTTCAGGGTGTGAAATGCAGCAAAGGAAATGAAAGTAGGGGCAGCGTTAGGTGGGGGGTTCAAGGAAGGTCTCCCCAATGCAGGCACATTTGAAGGAAGCCCAAAGAGAGGGAAGAACTTTGCTTCTAGAACATTCTCGGGGTGCCACCAAATCACACTCCAGCAAGTCGACCTGGGTTTTGCCGGTCGGCGTCATTTCATTTTGTTCATCTGTTCACCCCATGTGTGCTGGAAGCCCACCATGTGCGAGTCCCTGGGCTGGGCGCTGGGGACACAGAAGTGACCGCCGTCCAGGGGCTCTGTCCAGTGGAGGAGGAAAACGTCCCAACAAATGAATGGGCATATT